CAGGGCTGAAATCAGATCTTCAAGTATTATTGGCAGTGCTTTCCAAAACAAGAATCCACACGAGTAAGTACTTTCATATTATTTTGGTTTTTTTCTACAGAAAGAACTACAGGAACATAAATGCACCTATACAGAGCACAAGTTCACAATCTACACCAACGATAAGAAACAAACAAAAAAGGTCTCTGGGCAACAAAAACAGTGGTTACAAAGTTCATACCCTAATACTCGGAGAAGAGCAGGTAGAACATAACTAAGCCTATTTAGCTGCTTTACGTTCAATGTCAGGAAGCTCCTACTCCACAGATAAGAAGCTGCAAATTTATTTTAATTTTTTATTTTAATTTTTCATTTTTTTATTATTATACTTTAAGTTCTAAGGTACATGTGCATAACGTGCAGGTTTGTTACATATGTATACTTGTGCCATGTTGCTGTGCTGCACCCATCAACTCGTCAGCACCCATCAACTCATCAGCACTCATCAACTCATCATTTACATCAGGTATAACTCCCAATGCAATCCCTCCCCCCTCCCCCCTCCCCTCTCCCCATGATAGGCCCCAGTGTGTGATGTTCCCCTTCCCGAGTCCAAGTGATCTCATTGTTCAGTTCCCACCTATGAGTGAGAACATGCGGTGTTTGGTTTTCTGTTCTTGTGATAGTTTGCTAGAAGCTGCAAATTTAAAAGAGGGCAGCAGGGATACTAACAGTAGCAAAAGAGCAGCTTTCCACCACCGAAAGAAGACACAGACTGACAACTGAATCCTACTCAAGTAGATTCAATAATTCAAAAACCAGAGAGGACAACCTACATTTTAAAATAATCTCAGAGCCTCACTCAACTACTGCCATTCTGCTAGTAACAATAACCAAAGCATATAATACATTGTAAAAATTTTTCCACAAAAGGTATAACTAAAAAAAATTTTGGCATATAATACCTTATTTCCCAACAACATTAGGTAAATGAGGCATTGCTATGTATATAAAGCGGAAAGTTAACATTTGAGAGCATGGAATGATAGACTTCACTGCCTCCCTCTGTACTTGGTTCTGTCCTCTTTACACATTCATAATTTCATATTCCTTGACCTGCCTTTATAACATGCCCAAGTTAGCACCCTCTTCTCTAAAGGGGTTATCTTGCCAGAAAGTACAGACCTTAAACATTTACCAAAGTTCAAGGTCTCTTTTCTGCATCAGCTTACATTTTTCTTATCTCGTACTGGGATGACAGATGCACCCCCCAGATTATTTACATCGGAGATAGGCATTTCTTCTCTTGTTTTTGATAAGAAAGACCAAATCAGAAGTGAGATCTTTGCATTATGTTCTCTTCTAGGCAGCTTGAGCAGTCATGTTGACATTATAAGTTAGTCAGAAGCTCGTTTCAATAGCAAAGTAAGCTTCTGTTCTGCAGCGCAGGCCTATGTTAATAAATTCATTAGTACTTGGGGTTACAGCGACAGCTGAAGGAAAACAGGAAGATATATGTAGGTGTAGAAGAAGGAACTGCTGGAGAAGTACTCTAAGAAGGGAAAACTCCCCTCTTCCACCTTCAAAATAAGGGACAAGGGCAGTCAGGTCAATGCTATTGGCATGCCCATTACCAAGAGCTCTAAGTTCTATTAATGCAAAAACACTGGCTATCAATCCAACTGCCCAATTAGCCTAGCCAGAACAGACTGCAGGAGCAAGGTTGTGAAACTGCACCTGACTGGAACCTGCACAGGCTACTCCCAGGCTGCAGGTGGCTTAGAACACCATATAATCACAGAAGCAAATAACACACCTCTACAGCATGTTTTGAACAGTAATCTGAAACACATTTTCTAGGCTTTTTTTCTTTTGACAAAAAGAGGAACTAAACAATTTAGTATGTACATTAGAATATTTCCCCTTCCCTCATACTGTTGTCCATTTATTCATTCAACTGACAAATATTTATTGTACACCTTCTACATATAGGCACTGTCAGGTGCAGAGAGAAAAATACACAGATACACAGATTACTGTAACAATTACAACCAACTGCAGGGCCTCATTGTAACTGTGCTCCCCATCCCAATCCACAAAACCACCCGGCACTTAGTCCCAGAAGGACCTGACATTCAGATTCGGAAGACAGTCTCCTTTTTTTTTTTTTTTGGTTGTTTTTTGGTTCACACCTGTAATCCCAGCACTTTGGGAGGCCGAGGCAGGCGGATCATGGTCAAGAGATCGAGACCATCCTGGCCAATACAGCGAAACCCTGCCTCTACTAAAAATACAAAAATTAGCTGTGCATGGTGGTGCACACCTGTAGTCCCAGCTACTCAGGAGGCTGAGGCAGAAGAATCGCTTGAACCCAGGAGGCAGAGGTTGCAGTGAGCCAAGATTGCATCACTGCACTCCAGCCTGGTGACAGAGCGAGACACCGTCTCAAAAAACAACCAAAAAAACAAAGGAGACTGTCTTCTGAATCTGAATGTCAGGCCCTTCTGGGACTAAGTGCCGGGTGGTTTTGTGGATTGGGATGGGGAGCACAGTTACAATGAGGCCCTGCAGTTGGTTGTAATTGTTACAGTAATCTGTGTATCTGTGTATTTTTCTCTCTGCACCTGACAGTGCCTGTATGTAGAAGGTGTACAATAAATATTTGTCAGTTGAATGAATAAACGGACAACAGTATGAGGGAAGGGGAAATATTCTAATGTACATACTAAATTGTTTAGTTCCTTTGTCAAAAAAAAAAAAGCCTAGAAAATGTGTTTCAGATTACTGTTCAAAACATGCTGTAGAGGTGTGTTATTTGCTTCTGTGATTATATGGTGTTCTAAGCCACCTGCAGCCTGGGAGTAGCCTGTGTAGGTTCCAGTCAGGTGCAGCTTCACAACCTTGCTCCTGCAGTCTGTTCTGGCTAGGCTAATTGGGCAGTTGGATTGATAGCCAGTGTTTTTGCATTAATAGAAGTATCTGGCTTTAGGGTTTTACACCAATGAAATGATAGACACACAAAGTGTAGGAAGCTGAAGTCTGCCCTGAAAGTAAAGGAACAGAAAACTTCATTTAGGAATTTAAAATTCAGAAGAGATAAGAAGCAGAAACTTTAAGGCTGTGTGAAAGGGCTGGAATCTACAAATGGAAATCGAGAAATGAACTAAAAGTCAAGAAATTATCAATTTAACATAAAATAATTCCATGATATAAAAGATCATAAAAATAAAGATGATAGAAACAGTGATTTCTTTTTCTCTAATCTTAAGAACCAAAAAGAAAAGCAGGGCATGTGTTTTCTAGCTTCCATTAATTCACCAAAACATAGCTATTGTTCTGCTAGTTCTAGAGAAACGAATAGCGCGTACCAATGTCACATTTTCACCAGCCAGAAAAGAAATGCTGTGAACTCCAAGACGTCTTGATCATCTTTAACCTGTATCCATATTTATCACTGCACTTTATCATCAGTGGGGCTGAGAGTCTGAATTATTACACTTGTGTGTGCCTTTTTAATTCTCCTTTGATAAGCAATTTCAAATGGGAAAGGGACTCCTGCTGACTGATTCCATTGTACGGTTCTAGAGGCCAAAGTCCAACATCTTTGCAAACTTTAGAAAAGTTATTAATAGAAAACATTGATTTTAAATCTCCCTGAGATTGGCTATGAGTCTGGGCAAATAATTTAGCATCTTCACCATTTGTACCTCAGTTTCGCAAAGACAGTCGTGATAACAAATCCTATTTGAGGAACTGCTCTAAGCTTAGCTCAAAGATCCTGCATAAACTCAAATGTTTGTAATACATAAGCACACTGAGATCCCTAACCAGATTTTTAGAAATCAACGCCAGTGAAATTTATGCAAGAATTTACAATGCAAGAAGGATAGGCGTGGCTAATAAACGGCAATCTTAACTTGTACCAGATTATAGATTTATAAAGTCCTACAATTTAAAGGCTAAAGGCTAAAAAAAACCCACATTCCTACTTCACTTCCAAGTGAGAAATCAAAGCTCCAGAGGGAAGCTGGCTGGGTGGGGAAGATGCTGATATCTGGCACTAGACCCAAGTCGCAATACCAAGCAACTCTCATTTTCCCAAATTAGAAACTCCTTATCCATCCCAATGATGGTATGGCCTTTAAAAGGACTAATAATTCCATAAAGACTAACCAAGCCCTGTTACCCCTACTTTCCCTCCAATTCATCCTTCTACCCCTTGTCTTCCTATCCGGAGACTGGCAGGTTAACAGAAGTCAGATTAGAATGAATCTCTTATCAGAACCCACAATCAAGGACGCAGCTCGACAACTATTCACATTCATCATTAAGGGCAACGTATCGGTCCGCTCTTAATCGCGGGGCCGTCACACCCGGAAATGAAATCTCAAGCGCAGCCCACTGAGGGCTAACATAGCATTCCCTAAGTTGTGCCCTTCTGCGAGCGCCCGGCGCACGACCCCAAGAGACCGCGGGCCCCGGGTACGGTTGCCCCGCCTCCCGCCTCCGGCCTGCAGGTCACTCGCGCTTCCCGGCCACGAGGCGGGCCCAGCAAAGACCCCGTGAGGGCGCGTTCCCTGGGCTGTCGCAACGGGCGCTCCGGGAAACACAAGAGAGACACCGGGGCCAATCGCCTCTGGGGACCGCGGAAGGGGACGAGAGACGGTCACTAGAAGGACCCCTGGCAGCCTGAGGCGGCCCCAGGTGGGGCCCGCGCCTCAGGTGGGCCAGGGAGGTGGCGGCCGAGGCCGCGTCCCTTCAGCCGCGACCGCAGGCAGCGACGCGCGGCCCGAGCTGGTCTCCCAGGAAGCCTCGGGCCCTCGCCCGGGACCCGCCCGCGGCCACTTGGGGACGGCTCAGGGCACCGGTGCCCGGCCCCTCAGGGAGGCGCCCCGCCCCCAGGCGGCCCCAGCCCAGCGCGCGCCACGCACCGCGCCCCGCCCGCGTGCCGGTCCGCATTTTCCCGCCCGCCGCGCCGGGGGCGGGGGTCGCGCGCCCTCCCCCGCCCCCAAGCCACTCACCTGTCGGGCCCTAGGCTCGCTCCATGGCCGCCCGCGCGGTGCGGTGCGGCGCGGGCCCGGCCGCCCCCGCCGCCTCCGGGGAGGGGCAGCCCCACGCCGCGCTCACCGCCCCCAGCCGCCGCCGCCACTGCGGCTCCCGCCCACCCCCGGCCCGGCCATTCCCAGGCCACCTCTCCCCGCGCAGAGCGGCAGTCCCACACCCACCCCCCCGCCTCCGCGGCCCCCGACTGTTGGTACCGTCCTAGCGTAATGCCTGCCCCGCGGCCAATCCCAGCGCTCGCTCGGCGCGGCCCCGCCCCTGCCCCAGTAGGCGGCCCCTACCGGACCCGCGCCGGACGGCCCCCCTTAACCTCTTCCGTACCAGGCCCGTCCGCTTAACTCCCTCGGCGCCGGCGCCGGTGCCGGTCTCTACACCTCTCGGCCGCGCCGCCCCGCCCGCTTACATAAACTGGCCTCTCGCTTCTCACTTCCTTCGCTCTTTCTTTTTTCTTTTCCTTTATTTGTCCTCCATCCCCCTCACCCCATCTTCGCTTTTTCTTTCCTGCTTTTCTTGGGTAGGTAGGCAGCCAGGCAGCAGGACTGGAGAGTTGCGGTCCCCTAGGTCAGCTTCTGTTTGTGAGAAGCATTTTCCTTCCTCCTGTTGCTTTTTTAATTTGCCTTGACTTCTGCTCGGAGCTTCTGCCTATCTAAATGTATCCCCCGCCTCTTTTGCCCAGAAAAAGGCTAGCCTTCCCACTGAGTGCAAATGGCTCTTCCTTCGGACCAGAGCAGAGCGTCCTGCTACATACTTTCAGGAGTATCTCACAAAATTATGATTCATTTACTGTAATATTAGTTGTTTTACATCTGTCTTTTGCTAAGGACCGTAAGCCCCATGAGGACAGGTCAGTCGCCCCTGGGTCGCCAATGCCCGACCGCAGTGCACCCAGTGGGCGCGGATAAATGGTGTGAATGAAAGATTCTCCCTTCCATTTGTTTGCTTTCCGCTGACTTTATACAGAGCGCCACTGTGTCCATCCATTTATTCACCATGTACTAAAGCGCAAACTTAGTGTGACTGACCCGGAAATATAATGCAGATTACTCCATGGAATAAGATGCGTGAGGGGGAAAGACTGAGCTGACACCTTTTTCTTCAGGCCACATAGTTCATTTAATCAGTAAGGTGTACTGAACAGAATTCTTTCTTACTGGCTGTATGATATCGGATGTGCCAGTTAACTTTGCTGAGCATCAGTTTCCTTAACTGGAAAATGGGAGTTAATAACTTCACAGGGTTATTGTGAGGATTAAGTTAGGAAATGTGAGGGGAAAGTACTCTAAGATTGTTGTGTAGGATTAGCTGTTATTCATCTGTGTATTTACTGAGCATTTACTATCAGGAGATCCTAGAGAAATAATTGGGCTTGACACCCGCTCCAGACAATGTAGTTAGGGAGGCAGTATCCATCTCTGCAGGGGGCGTACAGTCAAATGCAGAAGGCTTTGTATCAGCCTTTTGCTGCGTGTAGTTGAAAAGGTTTGGAGGTTTAGAGGTCGTTTTCTGGCCAGGGAATATATAATTCTTGGGAAAATGAGCTGGGTGATAATGAGAATCTACCTTATTTCTCTGCACAGGAAGATCGGTCTGCCTGCAGTTGGCTAATATCCCTGAACCTTGCTCACTACATCAGGAGATCATAAAGCAAAAGGGTAAATCAACAGTTCCTTTAAGACACTTTACTCAAAAGGATTCTCCTTTCTTGCCTGTAACTCTGACAAGGACAGTGAGGGTGAACGCTCCAACTGTCACTGTTCAGGAAAAGGCCAGCTTATCCTGCAGCCTCAGCTCCCTGGGCGGATGATCCCTTCTGTCTTTAAGGATTTTCAGGTGGGGCAGGGGGCAGTCATTGCCTCTCCAAGCATCCCACTTCAGTGCTTAATTTCGCATCCATCTATCCATCCCACCTACTGCAGGACAGATACACTTCCTCCTTTTCTGTCCTCGGAGAAGGAGAGCCATGGGTTCAGGGCCTCTCTGTGAAAGGCTTTCAGACGACAAAATTGTTCTGCCCCCAAGTTTTCCCTTCTCCGTGCTGCATTACCCAGACCCTTCTCGAGTATATGCATAGCACCAGCACCGTACCTGACACTCCACAATGTCAGTTTCTGCCCTCTCCCCCTGTACTGGGTTATTTTCCAACCAATCAACAGTCAATATATTCTAAGTATTATGAGGGATGCAATCACTTAAGAAGGGCATTTACATGACTAGCACACAGGAAGCAGCTGCAAGGAATAGGGACACTTAATGCAGCACAGACTCTGTGATCACTGAAAGAATCACAGTCCAGGAAAACAGTGTGGGCTGGTATTGAGGTGAGCAAAAAAAAAAAAAAATATGGGTAGGAGAAGAGAGGAATAATATGAACCAAAGTTAGGCAGTGCTCTGTGAACTTACAGCTGCCATCTTCAGCAGATAGGCATGACAGGAGAATTGTTCATTTGTTTGTTTATTCATTCATTCGCTGATGCATACATTCATTCATTTAATGGATGTCTACCAAATGCCAGGCACTGAGTTACCAGACCATGCAAAGATGAAGAAAGCCTGGTTCCCATTCTTGAGAAGCTGGCAGGAACCCCAATTAAGGAGGTCTGAGCACTTTGTCAAAACTCCTGTGTTGCTCCTTTTACCATTCATACGATGTATGGTTCTACATGTCTTTATCTAATCTCCTCTTCATCTTTCTTCCTTGTTCCCAAACTGCAAGGATTTTTAAAGACATACACTATTTCATTTTTATTCCCACTTGTAGAGTGCCTCATACAAAGTACCTTCTCCACATTGATGTGTTGAAGCTTATTGAGTTAAATACCAGAGCAGGAATTTGGCTGTCCCCCTCCAGCCAAGGGTGGTAGGCATCCTTAGCAGAAGGAAGGATAGTAGCCCCAATGTGGAACCCCAATCTTGGAATTAGCCTCAGTGTGGAACCCACCAGAAGCTTGTCTGTGGCCTGCAGAATTCAATAGGAACACCTGTGCTTGGCATTTACTGCCATAGTCACCTTTTCAGGCCCATTTTCTGCTAATTCCTTATCCTCCACCCTAAGGGGCTCACTTGCTCGCCTTTCCCTGCCCTTATGGTTGTGATCACATTGATTCTTCCTCCAGGAAATCCACCTCACTCCCACCAGTAAAAATGTTATACAGCTTTCAGTGCTTCTTGTTCATGAAGCCTTTCATAGCCTTCCCAACTGCACATGCTTTCCTTGGCTTCTGAGACCCAGCACTTTATTTGTAACTGTCTTGCGGTGGGGTGTATTGAAGTCTTTGGGGATCTGTCTGACCCCATTCCCTGGGTTGTATTGACATCTGCGTCTTCTGTAACACTAACACGGCACATGGCCCGTGGTAGCCATGCAATGCTTGAAAGGAAAGTTTGAGAACAGGTACTGCAGAGCAGGGAATTGAGCCCCAGAGACTTGTTTCTTGGTCCCTTCATCATTGTAAGCATTTTCCTTAAACTGTTTCAGAATTTCCAAGTCTCTGCCAATGTGTCAAGCCCTAGGACTCCAATAACAGTCCAGCAATCCCAAGTTAGAAGGAGGATATTGTCTCAAGGTGCTTTTGCATACACGAAGGCAAAATACACACGCATGCATGCACACACAGTTTCTTTTAACCTAGGTAATACAGCCATCATGATGGATCCCTCTGAAACTAATTAAGTTAATTCTACATCAAGCAAGTTGAGAGGAGCCCTAGGAAAGCTCACGCTGTTCCAAGGTGCCAGGAGCCTGGGGTGTGACAGGGAAGGCTAGTGAGTAAAGGAGCACATGTATCTCTTTGTTTCCTTCCAGGAGCATGTGCCCTGCCTCAGCTGCTTCCCAGGCAGGTTTGTTCTCTGCATTGGGCTGTCTGTGGACAGCTGCTTCTGCATTTCTTTCCCAATGGGGCAAACTCCTTTCTTTCATTTTGCCACCAGCTCTGCAGAGCTACTCCCAGCCCGCCTCTTGCTTATAGCAACGGACTGCCCACTTACCCCATCACGTGGCACCCCTGTCAATGCCATCTGAGCAAACAACTCACATCCCAGGGACAGCATCATGAGCCACATACATACACAGGCACACCCAGCTTCTCTGCTGAGACATTCGGGCTGCGGATTCTGAAAGTGGTGGGAATCTTTCGGTTATTTTTTCACTCTAGCAATATTATTTTTAAGAAAAGCTTTATTGAGATATACATACCACAAAACTCACTTGCTTAAAATATACTCAATGTCTTTTAGTATATTTACAGAGTTGAGCAACCGTTAACATAATCTAATTTTAGCACATTTTCATCACTCCCAAAAGTAATACGGGTTGTTTTCTCTTTTATTCTGAAAACATATTTACCTAATTTTGTTCTTTAAATCTGCACAGTAAAAGCAAAAAGAAAAATACATTAATGGATATGTTAGATTTCTAGAGTTAGTAAGAAATGCAGAGAAGTTGTGGCTCTCAAAGCTGTGTTTCACTTAACTGTCATGTATGGCTATAGAAATTTGTTTAACTACCCCAAAATGTACACTTTTTTGTGGTATATACGCTTCAGTAAATGTCCAGGGCCACATCTTTGACATTTTCCAGTTTGTTGTGAATTTCTCTAATGCCACATATGACTCTTCAAGGGATTGGGTGGAGACAATACTGCAAATTCCGCATTGCTAATTCCCACAAGGCAATACTTTTGTAATATGCCTAGGATGGTACCACAGGCATATTGGTATTTAATACACATTGTTTTGTTGTTGTGATGGAAGCTCTTTAATGTTTATTGACTCAATTCAATGCACGAAGTAATTGCAGCCACATGGAAGTTCTGGGTTCCTCAGACTTCTCTTTGAGACCCTGCTTGGAAAGCCAGGAAGCTTCTACCATCCATGGATAATGTGGTAAGGAGTTCAGCAGAAGGCTCTTATCCATGGATAATGCGGTAAGGAGTTCAGCAGAAGGCTGTCTGAGCCTCTCTCATGGCTGGCTGAGGGATGTGCTAGAAGACAGTTCTCAGCCTGGCTGCAGAGGAGCTTTTTTTTTTTTTTTTTTTTTTTTTTTTTCTGACAAAGTCTCCCTCTGTCGCCCAGGCCGGAGTGCAGAGGCGCAATCTCAGCTC